ACAGCTCCGAGTCAGTACCCTAAACATAATAAAACAATCGTTGTGCTTTCAAATAGACGGTACCGGCTCTAGTACATATAAGATCGATGAAGACAGACCTCATGAAGTTGTTGAAATTGGTCCATCCTGTATATTTCACTATAGTTGTGACAACTTGTGAAAATTAAAGTGGTCATATTTTGACAACGAAACATAGGACCCATACGCTTTTTTAGGGGGAGATTTTCCTGACGAAAAAATTTCAAATTAAATGAAAAGTACAGGTGGCCCACCATGAGGTCTTGTAAAGGGTTGCACATATATTTGGAAAATATTTTTTTTCATAATCAACTGCAATATAATTTTTTTTCATATATTTAAATTTTAATTTATATTAACGTTCCATTCTTCACACATCACAATGCTGTAACTTTAAGAAAAATGATAATTTTGTGAAAAATAAGAAGACCCCTGTTTATATTTATCAGTTTGATCAAGAAAAAAATATTTGTTAATATATGTGCAACCCCTTCCGTATATTTCTTTCATTTCTAACAAATGTCTACACTGTTCTGTGAAAATTTTCAGTTTGCAAGATAGAAAAATAACATTCCGTGAAAAGAATTTTTACTTCTAAAGGAAAGTAAAACTTGAAAAGAAGAGTGCAAACTGAAAAAATTTTACATTACATTTTTATTAGGTACTTACATTGTTGTTACATTGCCAACATTCTGAAAAACTGAAATAAGAATATTGTAGTGACAAAGAAACTTCAGACCTATTATTTTTTTATTTGTTATGAAAATAAACAATTTACTTATTTAATGATTTATAGTTCTTATATAATTCCATTAGCAGATTATAATTAGTAAATTAATTATTTACCACAATATAAATAGCTATTAACATCAATAATTATCTACAAAATTCTAAATTTTAATGTTGTACTTATGCACTGTTTGTGCGTAGAAAGAAACTTATATAACATACATAAATAAAACAAACGTGTAAAGTTATACGCAGTAAAAAGTATAAATTAGTATAATTATGAACGATTAGCATTTATTTTTGGTGAGAATATCATAAGGCAAGAATGCACCAAAGAATAATTTATCGATTCAGAAGCAATTAACGAGATACATGTTTTACAAAAAAACATTATCTATAGACAGAAAGGTTCCAAATAACCATATACTTCTAACATTTAGTCGGGTTTTTCCAATGCCGGATTAAATACATTACGTGTGATTTAAGAAACACATAAAAATACTTAAACTATTTGAAAAATCTTTTTTTAACTTTGAATATAAAATTGTATATTTTAATAACATACAAATTATCAAAAATTACTTAAAAATTAAGATCCTTTTAAAATATCTGCATTTATATGTTATTTGATGCAAAGAGTAACTATTACGCAATTAGTTAATCAAGATAGCACTTTTAGTGAGCGGTTATAATTTTCTTTATGAAGGAGCCTTCATAAATGATTACAAGCTACGTAATTAAAACCAACATTTTGTTTCATCACTTGGTGATTGTCATCGTTCATTGTAAACGAATCATTAATATTGGTGACGCTAGGATTTGGGGATTTTTAGTTGATAGTACCAGCCGTGTAATGTTGGTTGCCTAAGCTCGGCGGTCACGTGGTTTGTAATAATTTATGAAGGCTCTGTATATTCGTTTTATTCAAAATGTAGTAATTTCTTGTTATTTTCATGAGATGTTTATGTGAAGCATAAAATTAAATATGATTACTCAAGATTTAACCCAACATTGTTAAATTAATATTCAGTACAAAGGGGCGTGTTTTTGAGGTCAAAATAAGACTTTTTTTTCGATATAGAGGATGTTAAAGTTTTTTATTTTTTGGATTTTTTAGGAATAATTTCCAAACAAATTTGAATGTGGGCATAAAACTTGGGGGACGGGGTTTTTTTAGGATGCTAAATTTAAATATGTCACCAGGGCGCTACCTATAAGACTACGCTTGAATTAAATTGGCCCTAACTTTTTTGCTACCCTGTACATTGACGTTTCGTATCAGTGCTTTTATTCCCTTATCAATTTTAAGCAAAAAAGGTATAGTTGATTGAAATCTCTCAGGCTAACCGTTTTCGAGAGATTGTCTGATGAAGAGTTAAATGCATACCATATTTTAAAATTTTATTAACTATTTAATGTGAAAAATTTTAAAATTTATTCACCATCTAATCAGTAGTGCAATGATCTTGAATTTTAGCTCTTTACTTTTTTTTTCATACAATTTCGAGAAAATCACGGCTGACTAATGGCAATACTACCGTTTAGTATATTTAATTTTGTTCATCGACAAAGCGACGTGTTCTTTTCTTGTAAAATATACTATAAATGTCAGATTAAAGTAAAATATTTTAAAAATTAGAGGAACATGATATTAAATATGAAATGACTTTTAAAACAAATTTAAATGACATGATAGTTCCAACAATTTTCATTACGTCACACGGGAAAAAAGTTTGACATTTTATCTCTGTTGACAGGTAACAAAATGTCGCTTTTTATGAAATTGCTGTATTCCCCGGGAAAAAAGTGAGTACTTTTTTCCTAGATATATACAATATACATAAGGTAGATATTTAAATTTAGAATATTTTACACTGAAAAAAGGATTTATTTGGACTAAATAAATATCGTTTGCCATGAACTAATCCTAGTTTTGGATATTGCCTAGCTTATATAGTGTGAAAAGTAACTAATAATAAGTTCATAGTTTTGTAATAAATCTTATTTGAATGTTAATTTATTTTTACTGTATTATTACATTTCGCATCTTTATTATTAATCTACATATTTTAAGATGTAGATGACATAAGATTATTAGAAATATGTCTTAGCTTAATGTGAACTAACAGTTTTTCAGTGAAAATAGGTTATTTTAATATTAATAAATCAATGGTTTATAAAAAGTGAATTGTTTTTTACACTAATATTGGACGTATTTCTTTCTTGATTAGTCTCAAAATTATATACTTTCTCAAATTTAATTAAACTGATAATTAGATAACTTAAACTAATTAAATTTGAAAAGGTACATAGTGTTGAGACCTACTAATAGAAAAAGTACATAGTATATATACGATACTTTTATTCGAAAATTAATTTTAAGACTTAAATATATCGTTCAAAACTACGTGTCATAGTTGTTGACAGTTTAATGATTAAAAATAATTTTCGGATTTTTAAATTGGGTTTTATTATAAATTTATGGAACTACAACTGCAACACTATGTCCTTATCTAAAACTGACTTTTTGACGATTGTTACTTGTTTGGCCCTAGCTTCTACAGTTTCTGCATACATTTTAATTACGAGCAAACGGAACACATCACTCTGTAACTATATGCACATGCTATATTATGAATATGATCTAAGAACAACAAGAAACACTACCTTTTGATATAGTCCATACTAGCCTACTGAACTACACAATTCACTACTGCCACCTTGCACACAGAGTCGCCATGATGGCAAAAATACGACTGTCAGGGGAGAGCATAACTTGGTCACGTGATTGGAGTAATTTTTAAATAATACTTTTTAATATTGAACTGATAATAGTTTTAAACTATATAAAAATTTAACTTTTATAACCAGCTGGTTCACATTTAAGAAATTATATATTTGGAATAATTTCCCTTTAAATTTTAATTGTAACGTTTGATAGGCCAATATAAAATAATATTTATTAAATAAAAACGAATATAAATTTGTATTAAAAATTTATTCTTTTAATTCGCCTAACAAATATTCTAAAATCATAAATGGTTATATTAAATCTAATTTGTTAATTATAGACAAATCTATTGTAAACTGTTTCTTTTTTTAATTCAAACAAATCAAATGACTTGTATTGAATGTAGCTGGTTTAACTCAATGTAACCAGCATAAATGTAAACTAACTGCATTCAAAACAACCGACTGCTTTAATAAAAAGTAACTGTTTTTTCAGTGTATTATATAGAAGTTACATTTCCTTTACACCAAAAGTACAATTATTAAATGTACATTGCACAAATGACATGTTTCTTGTGTATTTTTTTCTGTCATGGACACAACAGCCGTTGATGTACCTGGTCGCAAATCAGATGTTATTTCAGCACTGCCACACGTGCTAAACACTTTATTAGCTATTTCTGTCATATGTGCTACCGATTCATCAATATATCCTTCAGCGACCGTTGATGACTTCCAATCGCCATGTTTCTTTAGTGTCATCAAGTCTCCTCCAGATTCAACTAAAAATGTAGCAGACGATCTCCGAAATGAATGACCTGAATGAAATGAAGTTGAAAAAAATTAGCTACTGTTTCAAGTATCTTATAAAACTGATTTTTACCCACAACCTGATTGATACATTTCCCATTGCGATATGCATAAAACAGGCGACGATCTTTTGCTGCTGCTGGACGAAGGGCTATGTACATTCGGTAAAATTTAACATATTCTTCAGTAACTACAAATCTCCTGTTTACATCATTCTTTGTTTGCTTAAGTTTCACAATTAATAGCGTTCCCGAATCTTCAATATCATCTAATCTTACCTGGCTGATTTCACAAATTCGACAAGCTCCTGCAATCCCAAATACAACAACAACCTTGGCCATTAAATAAACTTCATCAGGAGCATTATTTAAAAAATCATTAATTTGTATAATCGTAAAAATCGCAGATTTCTTGGGCGTATAACCTTTCCCATTTTGTTTCAGAAATGTAATTAGTTCGAAATATTTTGAAATGTCTATATTATTATTGGATTTTAACAAACTTTTAATCATTGAATAATTCGACCACACTGTTGATGGCTTTTGTTGTTGTGCCAGTTCCACAAAAAAAAGCCAATAACACCGTCTCCGAAAAAGAACTGCATATATTTTTCATCCTCCATTTCATAAATCTTGAATACGCGGTTTCGTAAATTTTCTGCGATTTAGCTGGCAATAATTTTTGTGACGCTACTTTCGCTGCTTCTACTAACTCCGGTGGAGTCAGAGAAGACGCGGAATCAGACATTTTTTAACTTTGTATTATTCAAAATAACTACTAAACAGCCAAGGATTTTATACAAGAGGATTGCTCGATCCCATTTAAGCCTATGTTCGCCAAATAAAATGTCAAACGCTCGAATACGTGACGTCACTACGTTACCTCCGTGCTATGTTTACAATATGTAAAACGGCTCATTTTCCTTACTTTCCGTGTGTTTTTTGTGGATTATTGTTCGTTTAGAGGATTTATCCTCACTGTTATTATTAATTGATGTTATATACGTAGTTTGTTGTTGTAATTTCTTGTTAACTTATTAATATAGTTTGTTATCATTATGTTACTATTTGTGTTTGTGTTAGTTTAGTGTTCAGAGACTTTAGAGCCTGTAATAGAATTTCAATTTTGCTCAAAAGGTAATAAATTTAATATATTTTTTTAGGCATGTATATAAATACTTAAATTTCTTTGTTTTTAGGTTAATCTTTAATAAAAAAAAAGATGCCTGGTCTTCGATGTGCAGTTTATGGCTGCAATAACAGTTTTGTTGGGGTAAAAGCCAAAGGGGAAGATATCAAATTTTTCCCATTTTCAAAATCTAATAATTTAGTTTCACAAACAGTTTACAAGGAGTGAATAAATCGTTGCAAGAGGCAGGACAGTTTTAATCCGAATCATAGCCGAATATGTTCTATTCATTTTACCAGTAATGATTTTGAGAGAGACCTGAAGAATGAACTTTTAGGTTAGTACATATAACAAGTATTATAATATTGGGTTTCTTTTAATTTAATGAAAATTACTTAAGTAATGTGTTTTTAGGATTACCTACAAAAAAAATGTTAAAGAAAATGGCTGTTCCCAGGATGCATTTGCCACTTCAGAGTAAAAAAAAAGCAGTTGTGCAAGAAATTTTAAAACATAGCAACTTAGAAAATATACCTGAAACTGCAGTTCTATATAGTTTAGGTCAGCGGTCGGCAACTGGCGGACCATGGTCCAGATCCGGACCGCGGAAGATAAAAAACTGGACTGCCAAAAAATTTTTTAAAGTATAATTAGATATCCAAATTATTTAAAAACATATTTTTCTATAGATAAGAATACGTTTGAGGGCCACCTTTATCATTTTTTAATGATTAGTATAAAAAACTGACTCGAGACTGCAAATGTAATTTCTGCCATTGATTTTTGAATACAAAAGCGCCTATCTATTGTATTTCATATTATTTTGTGAATGCAAATTAAAATAAAAAATTAGTAAGGTATACGAGTTTTTTTTCTGGACCTTGTTAAAAATTTTCAAAAGTATGTGGACTGTTGTGCTTAAAATTACTTGCCGACCCTTGGTTTAGGTGCTTAATTCAACTGTAATAACTTAGAAGTGCATAGTGCTATTTTAACAGAACTTCAAAATTTACTACCCTAAAACATATAAATCAAACAATAAACAAATGTTTAATCAAGAAGCAAATCTTAGCCTCATGCAGCGCTCCCATAGGTATAAGCCATGCTAACTGTAGGACCTGCTCGTGAAAGAATATGCTATTTTACTGAGTGCGATTTTATCCATTCCAATAATTAAAATTTTTCCTTTCAATTTTGAATATTTATCCTTACGTAATAACTTTATTGTTCATAGGTTGTACGAGCAGTGATATTCAAATGGTAGGTGTGTTTTTGTAATTCAAACAAAAGTAGTGAAACGACAATCTTGTATATTATATTTTTGGTAACTTTTTTAACTCCATTCCCTATTCTTTATTATATCTAAAAAATAGTATATTTCTAAGTAAACGGCTACTATATTTTTCTAATCGCTGTGCAAATTAAACCACCTAAATATTCTAATATTGTAGGAACGTATCACTATTTTTAATGTCTGTTTAATTATTTGTCAATATTATTAAACTTAATATGTTTTTAAGGAATAAGTTAATTTTTCCTTTCAGTGTTAAAGTTCCCACTAAATTCGAGGTAACATAATGACGTCACACAACATAACCTAGTTTCGCGGAAATAAGTTTGTTATTAAGCAATCCTCTTGTATAAAATCCTTGCTAAACAACCACTAAATTCGCAATTTTTAAATCAAATCACAGAATTAAATTGACAGATATTTGATTACTTTAAAGGTTTCCTTAGCAACGCAGATGTAAATGCCGCTATAAGTATAACAGCCTACCAATTTAAAACTTTAGTGACTAATATATTGTAATAATGTTTTTTCAATATTAAATCGTTGTTTTTCCCGTCACAGAAAAAATAGTGTATTATGCACGGGAAAAAAGTAGATTTTACCTCTCGGTTTTTTGTGTCCCTCCGCTTCGCGTCGGGAGACAACACAACCTCGAGCTAAAATCTAGTACTTTTTTCCCTTGTATAATAAATATCTATTTTTCAATAAACATCGACTTGTCCAGCGTTTTTTTAACAGGTCATTTGTTAAAAATTATCTAATTTATTCATTACTTTATCGCAACCCTGTAATATAGTGTCACAATAGCACTTTAATATTATTTTCAAATCGATACGCTTTTGTGTTTGTATATGTATACCTGTTTATATGATTATATTGTGTGATATTCCCAACCCGACAGCATAATGTGGAAGTATACTATTGATATGAAAATATGCAATCTCACTTCCTGTAATTAAGTTAATAGTTATTATTTTTAAAATCATTTTATAATAACAGTCCGTGGTTTCTTTGAAAAGCAATGAAAGAAACAATCATTACTTTGCAAAATTATTGCACAGAACTGTTTAGTGTTATATTATATATATTCTCATTTTGTTGAATAATACGTATTTCTATGAAACTAGGAAAACCAAATTCTTAAAATAATGTTATACCTAATAAATGTAAAAAATATTGTAAGAATTGTTTCAAATTTATTTATAATTGGCGTAATCTTTCAAAACTGAAATATCTTAAAAGTAGTATAATAAAGTTTCATATTTCAATGAAAATTGAACGAGAAAAATCGTATCAATATCTTTGATCGTTATTTGTGGTGTCGAATAAGTACCTTTTTTATTTTGCAAGAATTTTTTTTAGTAGAACCCTGTGGTGTCTGTGTTCTGTATAAGTAGTTACGTTCAAATTTTGGGAATATGAAGCGGACTAAAGCAGACTGAAAAACTTTGTAATTTTGACATTTTGAAAATGTCATTAAACATTTGTAAAATAAAATATATTTTTATTTGTTTTACGAATTTAAATACATTCATTTACTCTTCACAGTTTCATAAACCTGTAACCTCGAAACAAATAGAGATCGGCCTATCACTTTGCGTTTTTTAGTCTTAGAATTATGCCTAGTTTGAGCTCCCAGGATTTTAACAAAACGATACGGATATTTTTCATTACACAGGGCGTTTGTAAATAAGTGCGAAATATTTTAGGGGGTGGTTGCTGAAGTTATTTTGGGAAAAAAGTTCATATAAACGTAGGTCGAAATATGCTTCGTTTCCGAGATACAGTGTTTAAATTTTAATTTTTTATTTATTTTTATTAATTATTTCATAGAGTTGTGAAGATATTGATTCGAAATTTGATGGTTGTATTTTATTTAGAAATATTGACAGCAACCTACTAGATAATGTATCAATAGAAATTAAAAATACACAACTTGCAATAACTCAAAAACGGTGCATCTTACGAAAAAAATTCAAGAGACCAATTTCATTCAGAACTGATGGCGAATTTTTTAAAAAAATATTAAAACTGGAAAAAGTCAGTGACGTACCATTTTTTTAATTAACATAGATTGTGGCATTCTCGGACGAACGCCACTGGTGCAAGTAAAAATTCACCCCAAAAAATGCACATTTATCCCTCCAAAGTGTTTTTCAAATTTCGACCTTCGAGATCTTTAGAACTAAAATAATTAATAAAAATAAATAAAAAATTAAAATTTAAAGACTGTATCGCGGAAACGAAGCATATTTCGACCTACATTTATATGAAATTTTTTTCACAAATTAACTGCGACAACCACCCCCTAAAATATTTCACCCTTATTTACAAAACACCTTGTATACTTGTACTATTTTATGTACTGTACCATACATATTTTTCATTGTTATGGCATACCTACATGATTTTATCATTAGGTAAATAGTTCAATTATTATAAAAAAATATATTCATTGCGTACTTTTTGTGTATAAAAACATGATAGTTCATATCGTTTAGAATGAAATTTTACTGTGTATTTTTGTTCCATTTTAAAGATATCTATAGTATAAGTTTGGCTTATAAATAAAACACCTGAAATCATAGAAAAATACCACGCACGCCACTGAATTTTGTGCAAAAACTGAAAAAGACGCCTTTATAATAATATATAATTTTCACAAATAAGGATTGTTGTCTTCAAAATCCAGCAGAAGATATTTTAAATACCTAAATGCTTTAAGTACCTAAATACCACCTACTATAATAATTCCCCCACATCTTTATGTACTTTAAGAACCTAAATTGACCAAAGTTAGTTAGTTTTGTCAAATATGATTAAGTATTTTTTTTGCCATATTTGTTCAAGAAAATATTGTTAAAGTGATTTTATTTACACTTTTTGGCACTTGTGACTTTGACATGTTTGTAACTTTATTCAGATTTTATGCATTTTAATATTTTTTATTAAAAAATAATGTATGAAATTTATAAGCAAAAGATTCACTCATCTTTTCAAAGGCTAGGAAGACCACCTGTGTTAACTTTAACTTCTGCATTTCTGTCCAAAAAATATCCTGTGGCATTTCCTAATGCTTTGTTGATTACAAAGATGGTCGAAACAAGAAAACCAAGTTGTTAACATGGAAGTTATATCCTCAGTTTTCTTCTTCATGGAGGTGTTGTGGAAATGTTAAGGGGAAGGATTTAAAAAATGTATATCTCAAAATGGTACCTAGACGATACTTATTTCTCGAAATTCACACAAAGACATACGTAAGTATAATATTTTACCAGCCCATAAAAATAGTGGAATGATAAGGGATAACTGTCAGTGAGGATAAAGCTGAAAAGGCGTGTTTTCATGACTAATCTGATGAATTTGCCGGTCTGGTACCGAAGCGAACTAACTCGCTGTGACATATCCTAGTTGACAGCCGACAATGCCCTTTCTTATGGCTTGATCGATCGCTTTAATCGCCTATTAAAACGCCAGTGATTTGCCATCAATTTGTTGTAAGATATCAACAAGAAAACTTAAAAGGAATATCGTGTCAATTAATCGATCGAATATTCATAATTGATCATTCAATTAAAATAAATATTATATCAACGCGCGCCAATCGCTTTGTTTTTAATTAAGTGTAGGATTAGTCACCATGGCGCTAAGAGAAAAAAAGTTTTCCCCTACAATCTTACCGTACATAGGATTTATCTAATGCGAGGTGGCAGCATAGGTTTAATATTGTTTTGATAAAAATGTTTCGTGATTTAAAAGTCAGAAGGTCCTAATATCAATATTAGGTACATATTTTAGAAAGTTTCTATATTCTCATTAGATACATAAATCCACTATTAATATGAAAGTTATCTATGATGTCACATGGGACAACTGAGTTCAATATTTTTAATATTTTTTCGAGTCGACGTTTTAGAAAATGAAAATATGTTCATATTGTTAGTTTAATAACCGAAGAATAATTGAAAATGGTGTGATTTAATATTTCGAACACAAGAAATATTATATCGGGTAAGTTTAGGATAGATGCCATGTCCGATGAGATGTTTCCTCGATAAAATTCTGATACTGTATAGTTAAAAACAGATGCTACATTTTCTTATAGGCGTGCGGTGCACCCCTAAAAAGATGCTTCTAAATGAAGGTAACCGACTAAATTTTTAAAACAAAAACCTACAGCATGAAACTTTTTTATTTTATAAAGTGTATTTTTCTGATAATTTACATATTTTTCGGCGTGGTCAGTCAATTGTTATAAACAAAAAAGTTGTAAAAAAAACATTAATCGCCGAATGGCAGTAGTTTTTGAGAAAAAAATTATGACAGTGTCGATTTCGTCACTTTTTTCACATTAAATTGTAAATATCTCGGAAACGAAGCAATTTTCGAATTTTTGTCAAAGAACAAAAATTGTTTATTTTGGTCCATTTTACAATTAAAAACTATTTTCAAAGCCATTCCGCGAGTAATGTTTTTTTACAACTTTTTTGTTTATAACAATTGACTGACCACGCCGAAAAATATAAAAAAAATATATAAATTATCAGAAAAATACACTTTATAAAAT